TAAATTATGGCACTAGAAAAAGTGCAGAGGCGGGCTACAAAATTAATAAAAGGAATTGAACATATCAGCTATGATGAAAGGTTAACAAATTTAAACCTAGTTATTTTAGAAAAACATTGCCTGAGAGGGGATATGATAACATTATACAAATATATTCAGGGCCAATGCAAACCATTGTGTGGAAATCTATTCACAAACCAGACTTTACATAGGACACGAGGCCATGCGTTTAGACTGAAAGAAAGAAGATTTTGTCTAAGGCAAAGGAAATGTTTTTTCACTGTAAGAAAAATAAGGATGTGGACTTCTCTGCCTGAAGAAGTGGTTTTATCAGAGTCCATACCTATGTTCAAACAGCTACAAGATGCATACGTGCAAAAACAGAATATTCAATGATATAATCTTTCACTGTAGGGTAATAACTGCTTGATCCAAGGATAAATCTGACTGCCATTCTGAGGTCAAGAAGGAATTTTTTTCCTAGCTTCTTGCAAAATTGGAAGTGCTTCAAACTTTTTTTGCCTTCTTTTGGATCAACAGCAAAAAACAAATGTGAGTAAGGCTAAACTTGATGGACGCAAGTCTCTTTTCAGCTATGTAACTATATAACTATGTAACATATATGTAAAAATGCCATTTTCCCCTCTCACCACAAACATTGACATACATTTGTGGAAAAAATGGTGACAAGTTAAGGCACAATATACACCATATAAGATACCCTTGGGTGTCTGCTTTATCAAATAAAAACCCTTTGTGAGGTTATTTGAACAGTCACACTGCTATAATACCCTAAAAAGAGACATAGGCCTGTCAAATGCATTTACGAAAATTCTAACTATAGAAACTGAAATAGCCTTGTCTCTTGTAGGGCACTGTAGCGTTACAGAAAAGTGCCAAAGTCATACAATGGGGGTATCATTATACTCAGCAGATGTATCTGGATACAATATGGGGTTCTGTGCAGAAATAGTACACACCAGCTTTACGAAATACACATTACAAAAACCTTGTTATATGTGTATATTCCAAAATAAAGAAAAAAACACAATGTTACTCCAATATTTAGCAGAGATTGGCAAAGAAATGGCTATGTAAAAAGTGTCAAACTAACCTTATGTAAATAGCCTGTGATGTCTACTTTATATAAAAATATACTTTTGTGTGGCAATTTGTTTTCTGTGATGGCTACTAAACCTACAAGACAAACATACCAACTTCTAAAATTGTTTCCAATTGACATTTTATTTTAATCCTTGTATTTTGTGACCTGTAACTTTCAAAATAAGCTGACATCCTATACATATAATGTACTCTATAAATCAAGACAGATAAATGAATTTATTTTGAATTACTTTTTCTAAGCTGGACATATTATGCACACGCTATTGCCAAAAAACTGTGAACAAAATTTATTTCTTTGTTTTTGTTTTAAATTTTTGGGCATTTTCTTATAATTAATGAGAAGCCCTGTTTGCTCTGTAAAAAAATATGTATAATATGTGTTGGTGCATTAAATGACAGAGATGCAAATTGCATTTGAACACAAACAGCAAAAAATGCAAAAATGGCTTGTGTCCTTAAGGGTAAGACAAGCTTCTGAAGCTGTGTCCTTAAGGGGTTAAAAAAACAAAAAAACAAAAACAAATTAAACAAACAGACAGACTATGCACCCATAAACAAATCTCTATCCTTAGAGTCCTATCCATAGTAATTCTGAACTTTAACTACAGAATATAGGAACACTTAGGGCTACCCTATCTAAGTAAACTTTACCAAGACTGTACTTTCATGGCATTCACACAACTTAAATATGTATTCAACGCACTATTCAAATGTTTAGTATTTTGGAAAATACTCTTCTTTGCTGTAATATATGTTATTTTCCAATGCTCTTTAGAAAAAAAAAACTAAAAAGCAAATT